TTGTGAGTGCGTGTGCGTGTGGTTTTTGTGGCCAAGGCCAACCACTAGCTGCTGCATTTTTCGATATGACGCTACGAAAAAAACGCGTGCGTGCATTTCGGTTCATAGACGAAATATTTAAAAAGAAGCAAAGAAACTAGGAAAACATTCAATTTCTTAATGATTGTAGGTGATTTGGTTATTTCGCGTTGATTGCATTTCGAATGGATCGGTTGCATTTTCCTTAAGGTTTTTGGGGAGTGCGTGAGCTGCACGTTTTTTGGGTGTGTGTGAAAAGACCTAGACTAGATGCGTTCGAGTGCGTGTCTATTTCGTGCTTTTTTTTCCGTTATGCGTTGGACGAGGATAGTTGTAATGGATAAGTGGAGGATCGAGGGGGAGGAAAAAGAGCGACGTCGAAGTTGGCGTCGCTGGATGTGTGTGTGGAGGTGGCGTTGGATGTGTGCTTCTGGTGATGGTGGTGGGGGATGAACACTCGCGTGTGTGTGTGTGAGCGAGAAAGAGACATGCGGGGGGTTTCCCCTAGGCAGAGGGGAAGTTGTCTATTTTTCGTATGCACGGCCATAGCCCTCTTTCTATCTAACCACGAGTTCTCTAGCCTAGAGCAGAAGAGGACACCTTACCCTATGCATATATATGTATATTTGTATGTATGTGTGTGTACGTGTGCGTGTGTATATGTAACATCCATCCCCCACCACCGCCAACCGCGATCGTGGAGACTACCAAAGGACGGACTCCTCCATAGACTGATATCCCGTCCCGAAACGCCGCCGCAACCCCCGCCTCCACCTCTTCTTCTTTTTCCTGCACCCTCCCCTCTAACGTCCCTCCTCGCCTACCCCGTGTCGCGTTGCGTGATACGAAAGCCCACCACTAAATACGGGGTTCCGATAAACATTTTTCAGAATTCGTGCGGGCGTTTTGATGAAAAGTCGTGTTTGTGTGTGTGCGTGTAAAAAGTGCGCGCACGGTGCGTGCATTTCGGACTAGTCAGTCGCATTTCAGATAGCAGTTAACTTGCATTGTCCAAAAAAGCAATAACACCGCGAGACGCGCACAGCCAAAAAGCCAAAATCGAGTGCGGACAACGAACATTGTTTTTATTTTTTATTGTTTGGTTTTTGTTTCGCCGAACAGTTTCCAAGTTTTCGTACACGCACATTTCAACGACGCGAATTGTCGCAGTTTTTTTAATTTTTTTTTTTTGGTTAATTTAAAAATTCTTTTGGTTGTTCGGAGTTTCTTTTGGAATAATACGGATTCTTTCAAAAAAAATAAAAATTTCAAACTCCGCCGAATCTTTGTAGTGTGCAAATGTTTTGAAAACGCGCTCCGCAACTTTTTTGTGCGAACTCTGGGCGCGCGCACATTTCCGAACGATACGAAGAAGAGATTCGCGAAGGAGGCTGGGATTCCCCCCCAGAAAACACGCGCAAGCAAAATTATTTTTGTTTTTTTTGCCTGGCAAAAATCTAACGTAAGTTTTTCCAAATACTATTTTCCTGATCCGTCGCATAAATTTTTTTTCCAAAAATTTCGTATCCATGTTGCATTAAAATCCTTCGACACGTCGACCGTGAGAACGCACTTTTTGTTTCTCTCCACCCTCGGTTTTCCCTTAATTACTTCCCTCTTGCAAATATCTACCATGCGAAATTTCGGGGAGACCACTCGAAAAAAAAATATGCACCCTCACGACTCCGGTTACCGAAGCTTTAGGGACGCATCTATTTTGAATAATTAACGGCAACCCCTTTTTTCTTTCGCAATTAATTGTACAAGAGATATACACTTAATAATAAATAATTTGAAAGAAACACATAATTTCTAATTTAAGAAACAAGATGCAAAGAAATAATTAGCAATTTAAATTGGATGCGATTAAATCGTATTATGGAAAATCTTCTACAATTTTCTTAAAGAATAAATTAAGATTAACAATTGTAAAAAAAAAAATCTTCAAGCGCCATGCGGAACAAACATATGTTTAAAACCCTTTCAAAGCGTTCTTATGGAAATCGTCGCTGGTCCAGAAGGGTTCAAGAGATTCGCTAATTTGCATACGATAGAACCCTAATCTAAAGCAACAATACAAAAAAAAACAGGTCAAAGTCTAAGAGAAACAACTTGCATTCATTAGAATCTGCTCAAAACTCAAATTATCCAAATTTTAAGCGTGCAACTGATTTAATAAGTGGAAATGATCGAGGCGCCATCTGTGAAAATTGTGCTGAAATTCAATCGAATCAAATGCTTCAATTCCTAAAAAAAATTAACAAATTCAATTGTTTACTTTTCGTTGCTACGGAAGCGCCATCCGGAAGGATTTTACAATTATGCAAATACCGTAGGGTCTCGTTGTCATGGAGATTTAGTTTTTCTTTAGGGGATCGGGGGATGAGCGCTAATTTGAATAAAATCGTGTTGCATCTCCTGGACCTTTCAGAAAATTACCCTTTGAGTGAATGCATCATTTCATATAATAGCGGTAGGTCAGAGTCAAGAAACAAAAAACATAAATAAATTATAAAACTCTTTGCGCAAATTTACGCGTTTACCTACTGAGCTTTAGGGGTTTAGTTGTCATGGAAATAATTCGAAAAACATCGAGGAAGATTTTTTCTGTATCGTGAATTACGTTTATATTAGATTCCTTATTAAATATAGGACAGGTATTTTTCAACCCCTTTTTATTTGGCAAATACGCGTCTATTTTTTTTATAATTATTTGCTTTTCTCGATTGAGGGATGAGAGTGAGAGAGAGAGATAGAGACCAAAGAGTTTTCGTATGTACGAATCCTTTCTGGCCAATCAAAATAAACGTCGAAAGGTCAAAGTCAACAAGCGGGAAGGGAAAAAAAATGCGTGTACAGAATGAATCGCTTTTCCCACCAGTAGATTTGTTTATTTACTTTGACTTCCGTTGTTATGGAAATCGGGAAAATGAAGGTTACCGTTTGTGTGCGCCTACAGTTTGTTGCCTCGAAACGTCGTACAACAAATCGCAAAACTTCTTCATTTTTTTTTTAAATTATTTATTTATTAATTTGAGAATATAACATCAGAAATATTCTAATCAAATAATTTAATTATTCAATCGCAAATTGAACTAAAAATTACGGTTAATCTCATTATGCAAATTGTTTAATTAATCAATTGTTTCGTTTATTCGACTCCTCGAAATCGAGTTGCACAATGCAGCGTTTTTCGCGCTTTCGTCGTCATGGTAACTCGATAGCTTTTGTCTGCTATTCTCTTCAGGAGTTTCTCGTTGCTTTTGCAGCCCACCCCAACTGACGAGGGATGCCAGATATGTTTATTTTCGGGCGTTTTTTTCTCTCTACATTCTTCTTTTCCCTCTCTCGCACCTCTCTCTATTCCTCTTTCACTCGTTCTGTCTTCGATACGACTTTCTAAATGAAACGCATCCACGATTACGCGCGTCCTCCACAACGCACAAAAACCAAAGGAGCTAAAAGCTACGAAACAACGCGACAACCGAAAAAAAAAGCAAACTTTCATAAATGACGCGAACGCAAAACAAAATGGATTCCGTGCATTAATAAATGCTTACTTTTCATTGTAAATTGACGATTTTCTAATAAAATTAATCACAAAAAATGTTAATGTTTTAGATTTAAACAACGTTAATTGCGATATTATGAGTACTATAATTAATTAACCGTAAGAAATGGATAAATTACTAAATAAATGAGACACGTGAACAAAACTATGGAATTTAGCACGAAGCATTGAACTCTCCAGTAGGAGATAAAACTTAATCGTCAATATTGTTTGTTGTTTTCTTGTTTTTTTTATTTTTAAGAGCGCAGTTCTCGTCGCCATTCGTTCGTTGTTATGGAAATGCACGTTAGAAACAGGAAATTGGACTTTAAAATCCCCCTTCGAAATTCCCCAAAAATATTATAATACACGAAATTCGGTGCATTAGTAATGCGTCAGGTCAGGTGTGTCTATTCTCTCTCTCTCACTCTTTCCTTTACATTGAACAATGAAAGAAAGAAAGAAGAAAAAATAAACGATACGCTTCTATTAATAATCGACAACAAGTGAAATTGAGTTTCGCCTTTAATTGCCCACATTTGTCCGTGCAATCAATAATACCGAAAAACAAAACAAAACGAAACAGGGTTCTGGCGTGTTCGCAATTTGATGTTTGTTTCTGTAATGCTTTCCTTATAATTATTCTTATCGCATTTGATGGCAATTTTCGTATTCATGTTCAGGAAGTTTGTTTTGCTCTGTCAATAAATAATTAAGTTTAATGCGTTTGATGATAGAAAAAGTGCTTTTGTATAATTGAATAAATTGGAAGTAATATTTTTGTGATGCAAAAAAAATTATGTTGTGAGAGTATAATTTTGGTGGTGTCCATTAAACATTGATGGGAAGTGACATTGCGTTTCGCTAGTAATTGCCCCCCTTTATTTTCGTTGTTCCCATTCGGACAATCAATAATATTAAAAGTTACCGAAAAAAAAAAGAGGAGGAGGGTTAAAAACGCGCGGTGTTTGCATTCTAATAAGAAGTG